AAATCGACTTTTGGGGGCGGTAAATATCGAAAAGGGGGGCGGTGTTTATCAACATTATTTTACATCTTAAATAAAGGAAGGGCAACAGACAGTTTTGCAGATATGTCTTTTTGGCTTCTCTAATTTACAAAACATAGTCCATCCCCAATTTCTGCAACAATTTTTTCACCCATGCCTAATCCCTAATTTTTAAATTTGGTGGCTGATTATTTCTTCTTATGAGCCACGGCGGACTGCTCAATCAAGATCCCGACAGAAGCCGGTGTTGGGACGGGCGGGGATGGCGTCGAGGATGGTGAAGATGGTTGCCGGCGCGTGCATCATGGCCATCGACGAGTTCAATTCAACGTACTAGCAGCTCGACATCGAGTAAGCCTAGCCGAGGACAGAGAAGGGATGGGCGACCGCCGGCGATGTAGAGGCTGTTGAACCAGATGCAGACAGCGGCGTCGTCCATGAGTCCATGGTGGTGTCGATATTTCGTCCATTGAACTACCGTTCAGATGTCCGTGGACGGCGGTGGCTAGCGGCGACTAGCGACACCGAGGTCGCATTTGGGACGGCCGTGAACGGCGATGGTGGGGGGCGCTAGATAGGTCGACTGGCTGGTATGATGTGGTGTGTGTTATTTGTGAATGAGGAAGGAAAAAGAGAGAGAGAGAGACAATAGAGAGAGACATTTCACTGATGTGGTAGCCAGTAGGAGTCGAACAGTGGGGTCCATTTGATGTTTGTTGATTGTTGTGTTTGGTAAAATATCCGTATTACCCTTGTTGAATGTTAAATGTTGGTATTTTTATGTCCGCTGGATCATGAGTTTTAATGGTTGTGATTTATTCTTATTTCTTTTCTTGAACACCATTCTTACCGAAGCGCAACCTTATGTATATATATATAATATTAATTACATGTAGGCAGGCTATTTTACACGTATGCGAGCTAATTTACATGTAGGTGCATCCGGTAACTCTAACCTACTATAGGCTGTCAGAGGACCAAAAACGAATATTTTTCACTTACAGAACTATTTCCAAAAACGGACCTTTACCAGGACCAAAAGCAAAAAAGGTCATTTAGGGACCAAAACCTTTTTTTGCCTTCTTATTGTATTGCAACATCCCGTGTAACAATACTAGAATCTTATTGTATTGCAACATCTCGCACACTGTACTCAGAAATTTGGGACCTTTAGAAACGTTCAATAAATTAATACAACACATTGCAACGACTTAAAATCCATAAATAACCTTCAAATATGGGGAAAAGAAAAAGTGTCGTGTACAAAAAATAGGTCCCTACGATTAAATATTTGCAGAATATACCAGTTATTCTTTCAGTATAAAGTCGAACATCTCAAAATAAACAACATAGGTAAAACTCGGGTGTACGGGAATTGCCTTCAATCTTTATCTCTAGAAGATAAACATAATTTATAGATGGCATTGACTGCAGCAATATGACTCGTAGGAAAAACCATCTTTAACAAGGGTACAGATGGGCGCAAATTAGCATGTCTAATCTTCTCAACAGCTTTCCTAGCATCCAGTGGTGATGGCAAATCATACCACTTGAGGTACCATGAAAAAATTGCCCGAGACTTTATTGACCAGGGGTGATCATCGATTGGCCACTTTCCTGACATAACATAAGCGCAAAAATCAGTTTCCAAGTTTAGAGAACAGTTTATGAGATCATCCACTCGTTTCTTGAGGGAGCCCAGAAAAGATGATTGCACGATTTCCGATCTGGAGTTTGACAGTCTTCCATTAGCAAGAGCCTCACTGTAGGCTACAGCAATCTTCAAACTCGAAAGGGCAAGAGAATCAGTGGGAATGCTGCAACATCCAGAGGACATTGAATCCACCGTGCACCCGACTGCAGTGTACAATGACAAATAAACCTGAAACAGTTTTTAGAAAACTTGTCAAACCTTAACCCAACTATTTATTAACACGCTCAGCAAGTAGTTGTTCAAGCTCGCTTTCACAATCCGAACAGTGTTGTGTTCAAAAACAGCTCGGTTAGAACGAGTAACAGCCCTAGCTGAATGATCAATATAATAGAAAGTCGTTATACGTCAAAATGGTAGGATGCAAATGGGATGAAAGGATTCTATGGTCAATTCCGAATTACTTAACTAGGAAGAATGATGGAAACGATATGAAAACATAGTTTCTTGGACTATGATACGTCAATGGAATTTGAGGGGTCTTGTTATTTTTGTTTTTCTTGGGGATTTCTAATTTTTTAAAGGTTTAAACGATTTTTAGTATTTTAAGATTTATATTTCAGCTCTTTATTTAAGTTCTTTTTTACTCATTTTAGTTATTTTTAAATTTTATGTCTTTTATATCACTTGGATTAAAACTAGTACAACAACTGTGGGAAAAATTTATACTTGAGTTTACCAAAAAAAAAAAAAAAGAGAGAGAGAGATAGAGAAAAGTCTTTCTTTCAAATTTTAAATACTTTTTCTAAAGGGTTGTATTATTATTTACATTTAAAATGACAATCTTCACTTGAACGGCATCTTATACTATTATATTTTTTTCGGAGTTGTACCATATAATGATTTCATAGATAAATTTATAATTAATAAATATTATTATTAGACAATAATAATAAATATATTAATATTTATTATAAAGATAAATATAATTATTTATTTCATATCTGCACTATGGATGTCAAACTGAAGGTCGTGAAGAAATGATTAATCTGATAAATCATATATGGAAAAATAATAACAAATACAATTGCTTATGCGATTTTAAGAACTTTTACTATGATATTAAAACAAATTAATTTATTTAAAAAAAGGTTTAATCAGATAAAAAAATATGATGCTCCCTCTATTCTTTTTATTTTAAATAGATGACGTTTTGGATCTTTTATACATATTTTTCTATGACTACCCTCATTTAACTAATACACTACACGTTTTGGGAGGAAAGTTGTGGAATACAATGAGTTTTCTCTCTTAAAACAACATAAATAAATAAAAAAAGATGAAAAGAAATAAATTATTCAATGTTAATTTGCTTTAAATATGACTAATAATGACAAAAAAAGAAATTCTAGTTAAAGCACAAAACAACATTTAAAAAAGAATAGGAGGGAGTATTGATTTTAAAATAAATAGCTTGAACAAAAAGATTTTACAATATAATTTTTTATGTTCATGTAACTTTCATATAGTAAAATATAATTATTAATTTTAATAATAACTATTATATCAAAAAATATAATTATTAGTCTATTAATATAAAATTAACGGTTCTTGTCTTATTTAACTAAAAAAAGTGCAAGTAAATATTTGATTATTAATAGGATAGGGTGGATTAATGTAATAATAATAAGAATAATAATAATAATAACAATAATAATAATAATAATGGATTGTAATTATTAGGGGAAAATGCCACATAAGTAAAATTTATTAGGTTTTATTTAATTACTAGTACAACGCCCGTGTATAACACGAGTGCTTGCTAATTTTTTTCCTTAAAATCTAAAATTAATGAGAAAAAATAGTTGAAAATTTAAATATCTTTTATAAAAATATATATATTATTATATATTTAGTACGATACTTTTTATTTGTGCGACTTACATGTGTTATATTATAATAATTCTTTAACTTACAACATATAACTACATTAAACATAATATATGAATTGAGAAATAATTTTATTTTTTTAATGAATTTTAATAAATATTATTATTTTTTATTATTATAAAGATAAATATAATTTATTCATTTCATATATACAATATGGATGTCAAATCGAAGATCTTCAAAAGATGATTATTTTGATATATTATAAATGCAAAACCGATAAGAAATACAAAAGTTATCAACTTTTAAATTACATTTACAATTCAATAGCTAATTGAAGGAAACAAATCAAAAGT